GGTCTGTGTCCTCTTCTGGAACTCTCACTTGATGGTACATGGCTTCAATGTCAGCCATCATTGCTATTTTTTCCTGCCTGAAGCGAGTCAGCACTCCTATAAGTGTGTTAGTTAGATCTGGGCCCTGAAGCAGCTTTTGGTTGAGAGACACTCCCTGATAACTGGCGGCACAGTCAAATACCACCCGCAGTTTTTTCTTTTGCGGATGGTAAACTCCATGATGTGGACTATACCACACTTTGCCATCCTGCCGACTCAGTTGTGTTTCTGGAACTTTGACAGCATATCCATTTTTTAACATGTCTGTGATACAGTCAGAATACTCCTTATGAAAATCAGGATTCCTGTTGAGTCTTTTCTTCAGTGTGAGTGCACGCTGCACTGCTGCAATTTGATTGTTTGGCATCCTGATCTCCGACTCCTTTGTTGGCAACTTAATATAGTAGTGTCCTTCCTTATGTTCCACAGAATTTGACACAGCATACGTGAACCTTTTGTCCTCAATTGACATTTCCACTTTTTCATCAAAGGCACGTTCTGGAAAATCCACATTGTATTGCTGCATGAGCATCCTTTCTATAGTATCGACTGATATCCGATTCACACTAATAGCTTGATGCTCTCCATCCTCTTGTCCTCTGATTGGTCCATTGACAGTCCATCCAAGAATTGTTTTGACAGCATATGGGCCATTGTTTTTACTGTTAATCACTCTCCATGGCTCAAAAACTTCAGGAACATCATTACCAATTAGCAGCCCAACATCAGCATCAATGTGTGGCAGCTTCACTTCTTTAAGATATGTCCATTTATCAATATCCTTCTGGAGGGGGATATTTTTCTTTCCAACTGGAATGTTGTTTTGAGTAAAAACCTTTGAAATGGTGACAAATTTATTCTCAATGATTCCACTGATTTCCAAGTTTCTTACAAGACGGCCCTTTACTTGTTTGGTTGAGTTCATAGTGCTTAAGACAATCTGTGTTCCTTTACCATTTAGGTTAAGTTGCTTTGCCAATGCATTAGTACAAAATGTCCTGAGCTCCCAGGATCCATAAACGCATACGTTTTCACAATTTTTGTCCCTTCTTTTGACTTGACATACACCAGCAGAATAGACAGAATGCAGCTGTCTCCGGCCCCAGTAGACGGAGTTGCTACATGATTTAGACTCACAAGTGCACTTGAAATCCAGTCACATCCAGTGTTTTCTGTTTGACAACTTGTGTTTGTTTGCTTTGAAACATTTTCATTTTTATAAATGTGCAACAAGCTTGGGTGTTTCAGCGAGCACACTTGACATGTTAATCTCTTTTTACAGTCTTTGCTGAGGTGTCCTTTTAATAAACAAGCAAAACATATGCCGTTCTTCCGCAAAATGTCCAATTTTTCTTTGTGTGGTCTCTCTGTGATTTGGTAACACTCGGCCATAGTGTGGTTCTTTCTGCAAAACAGACATGGCCTGGTGAGGGCACTGTTGCTACACAAGTTGGGGGCTTTACCTTTAACATTTTCAATTTCTTCACTTAAAGATACATTAGTAGCAAAGCTACTTCCTCTTGGTTTATCTTTCTTTGTAATTTTTACCGTAACAGGCATTTTTCTGTCTTTCCATTCACCTGCAACTCCCTGCAGGTCTCCAAAGAGGGGGTCATTCACCATTTTTGCCTCTTTGTCCACAAAGTTTACAAGATCCACAAATCTTATTCGAGTTTGTTTTCTTTCTTTGATGTCAAAAGCCAAAGCTCGCCATTTTTCTCTCATTTTATATGGCAGTTTTGAGATCACAACCCTCATGTTGGCTGGATTGTCCAACTCATCCATATAATCCACATCCTCCAAAGCATTGCGACAGTTTAAAAGAAAAAGTGAAAACCCATGAAGGGTTTTAGCATCCTCTGATTTTATTTGTGGCCATCTAAATAGCTTATCCATTAAAGCTGTCGCAATTTTAAGAGGGTTTCCATCGTGGTCTTCCAGCAGGCGCACTGCTTCTTTACAGCTACGGCCAGCAGGCATATGTTGGCAACCTTTTACCACATCATGAGGCTCACCTCTTGTGAATTGCTCCAAAAAGAACAGTTTGTCTACATTGTTGTCAGTTTTCGAGTCCACAACATGTTCAAAGGCCTTCATAAAGGATCTAAAATCAAGTGAGTCACAACAAAACACAGGAATATCACGTTGTGGCAAGCGAGCTGATCGTTGATGATTGACAAGCGTTTCTGTGATGTCTGTTTGTCGTTTCATGACATCATAGAGTTCATAATTATGATCTGTAGGTTGTTTGGGAACAGTATTATGCGTTGTGATGGACTCATGTAGCCTTTGTGACTTTTGTCTCGCTCCTAATGATGGGACTGAACGCTGACTGTGGTCCATATTAACAGGAATTGACATTTTCTGCTCATTAGCACCCCTTTGATTGTGTGTCATGGCTTCTACAGCATAATATTCATTCATTCCATCACCAATTTCAGGAATGTCATGTCCTTCATATACTTTAATTTTTGCATTTGACACTGCTAATGCTGTTTGAATTTCTAGCTCCTCCTTCTCAGCCACGAGATGTGCCTCCTTTAATGCCAAAGCCTGTTTTTGTTTCAAGGCAGCTGCTTTTGCTTCCAAGGCTGCTCTCCTTGTTCCTTTTTCAACTTTGTAAATCGTACCCGAGTCATTTATTCATTCATTGTAATATAATCAGCTGTTGCGGAAGCCGCAATCACAGGCTGTCATTCATGTGGCAAGATTCCAGGACAAACAGCTGAACTGCTCACGCTGTTTTTTGATTTTATGTAGTGGCAATTTCTTCTTGTGTGTCATATAAAAATTGTCACTTGTGTCATAGGAGCCAACCTGTTCGTTCCTGATGCGTGTCCACTTTAATATACTCACAGATCCGTTGTTTCACTTGATTTCTTATTTTATTCGTAATTCCACTTGTATCCAGAACAGATCCAAAATGAATATATCAAAACTCAAAACAAAAGGTCACGATCAAAAAACATTTGCTGCTTGGCTCATAAACCTCCACCACAGTCCACAAACAAAACGATCTACCTTTTTTCTCTCCACCTGTGCATCGCAGCCAAATTAATTAACTCGGCTCCACCTTAACTCGGCTCCACCCATAACACAAAATACCTGCCAAAATATGCCCAAATAAATCCATTATTCACCATAAAAGTTTCCATGTCAAATCAAGTACTTCTCATAAATTAATACTTATTTCTTACAACACAAAAAATATACTCTATTAACACAAACTTAAACCATACTTCTGAAACTAAAGTTATCATGATTAAAATGGCCTCCACACTATCAATGCTACATGTAGTTGAACAGAATCACACTCTGAACTAAAGAGTGGAGAAGAACATACTGGAAAACAGGAAACATAATGCAGCAGGTTCATTAGAGCACGGAGATGGTAGAGGTGGCGTGCAGACAGTCTATGGTCATGCAGCGATCACAGGGAATAAACGTCACCACCCCCTCCCACTCGCTCCAGGTGAATTCTCCTGATTATATCCTGCTGCGTTCTCACATCAGCTCACTCTGACTTTCTGCAGAATAAATACAAGGAGGCTGGAGGAGAAACTCCAGGTGAAGAGAGAAACATTCAGCTGTTTGTGTTCACACGTGACGCTCACCACCAACACTTCAGGAGGTTTTCAGGAATTTTTTTAATATAATCACTTTTAAAATTTTCCTCAGTTGATCAACTAGATGACGAATACTTCAGGAGTTTTCTCAAGGTGTGAAAGCAGCTGTAAGTGTTCTACTCTCAATGGGAGGAGTTATAGAGTTTGATGACCTCCTGTGGCGTTCTGTGGTGCATCATGGGAGGATGAGTCTTTCACTGAATGTGTTCCTGTCTGACCTGCATACTGTGTAATGGGTGGGTGGGGGATATTCTCCTCTCTGACCCACCAGAGTCCGGCTCCACCCAAACGTCACTGGCCCTGTAGATCAGTTTGTTGCTACTGTGAATTGTTCCTGATCTGCCTTAAAGTTCTTTTATGATGCCATTTAAACACACACACCTGTAATGTGTCATTTCACTTCTCTGGTTCTTTATAGTGATTGTTACGAACACATTCACTCACCATGAGCTGCTGCTGAACTCTGCACGATGTGTGAAAACCTCGTCTGGATCATCTGAGACTCTCTGGACACAAACCGCACAGCTCTACTGAACACGGATGTAATCTAGAACCTCTGATCCAAAACTCGATCAAGAAACAATCTGCAGATTCATCAATAATGAAAACAAGGCGTCGTTTTTTACATTTTCTTTAATGAAGACCTTCTCAGTTCAGTTTCATCTGAAAGAATGAGCCGACTGAAAGTGACAGAAAATCAACCTGACAGAAACGAGGAATTCTCTGATGAACACATTCAGTAAATGAGACGACCAATCCGACCAAACTTTTAATCCTCCGGTTTGAGCCGTCCAGCAACCTCCAAAAACAACACAACATCAGAGTGATCTGGGGTTCAACTTCACAGACGTGGAACAGAAATCAATTAATTTGTAGAAACTTCAATAAACCTGCAGAAACGTTTTTACACATCCTGATTACTCAGCAGCTTCAGTGTTTCAGTTTTAAAAGTCACATGTTATAACATCCTCTTCTCCATGTTTCTCTAACTCTAATGTGTCTCTGGTCTGTCTACAAACCCCCCAATGAGAAAAGTCCATCCTCTCCGTCTTTTGCCTGCTCCACTTTTCAGAAAATGTGTGCTCAAACAGGCCGTTTGGAGATTTTCCCTTCATGACATGAAGTAACCCCTCCCCCAGGTGGGTGACACTCCCACAGCTAGGTGTTTGTTCTGCCCTCTGAAGACATAGAGCTAGAAAGCCAGAGGCACCCGAGTCCTTCTAGAGAGGGGGCGTGGTCAGACACAGCTCATTTACATATTTAAAGGTACAGACACAGAAACAGCCTGTTCTGAGCAGGGCTGAAATAGAGGGGTTTATAAACATGATCAAATACAGGATCAGAGTGGATTAATAACAAGAAACTTCACACACATGTTTTGAGGAGCTCCGAGACTTATTTACACTGAAGAGGTAGTAAAATCAGTAAAGAAGACCAGGATGAATCTGACCAATGTTTGGTTCTTTTGTTCTGGTCTGAAATGATAAAGAATTTTTTTTTAAATAAAGAATCTTTCACGCTGACGCAGTTTGAAGTGGAACTTTTCTGCACTTTAAGTTTCACAGGCACCATGAAAGGGTTGAGAGGGGGGCAGACCCCGGTAATGTCCGCGTCCTGCTGTGATGTGGTATTGCTGATCTCAGATGATTGGCTCTCAGCGTCATGTGGCTGCGGTGCGACCCCATCGCTGTGTGCATCAGTGAGGTTCTGCTGAGCGTCGGATTCGTCCCTCTCTGGAGCAGCAGGAGACTCGGTCGGAGTACTGAGTTGGCCCTGCAGGTCTTTGAGCACGTCTCCTGCCGTCATGGAGTCAGCGGAGGAGGAGAGGCTCTGATACACCTGCAGACACCAAGAAGAAGAGCAGCGAGTTACTACCTCGTTTTCACCTGAAGTGATATGCTGGCAAGCAGGAAGTGATGTTTGACAGTATGTCTACATCATGATCCATTAACATGATGCTCAGATTCTGCACATCTGTGGAGACTCGTCTGGTTTGGACTAAATGTTTTCACTCAGCATGTCTTTTTTTTAAATAATTACTCATCAGGTCGAGTCAACACGTTTAGAACTTCTGTGTTTCCTAAAGACGTCAGCAGCTTTAACAACTCTGTCTCTAAGATTTACCTGTTTCAGGTGTTTCTGCAGCTCTTTGCAGTCAAGCTGTGGAAGCTCCTCGGGCAGAGACATCAGCAGATCCAGCATGATAGCGCCCTCTGGAGGACACAAAAACATATCATGTGATTATTTAAAAGAGGAGAATGAAAAAATTAAAACAAACACGTTCTGCCTCTGATCACTTCCTGGACACATTGCGTCTTCCTCAGAGTCAGGTCAGGGTTTGTCTCCGAGGAGGACGCAGTGTGTCCAAACGGTCGTCCTTTGCACCAATTAAATTTGCCTTAAGTGAATCATGTGCTCCAGGACATCCTTTGGATCCTCCCCGAGAGTCCGCTGAGTTATAGTTTGAATTAAAATGTTGGATTCTGGGAGACTGGGGTGAGACTTAGGGCACACTCAGGTCCTCAAACGTCCTTTAATCAGGGTAGAGCAGCAGCAGCAGCAGGCCCTGGATAAAAGATGTTAAAGGACAATAAGGGTGGGGTCTGTGACTCACCCATGGGGGTCAGGTGACACTCCTTGTCGGGCTTCAGGATCACACTCAGGTATCTGTAGATCTGCTCAAAGTCCACCACACATTTCACTCCAATAATCCTGGGACTGTCCTCCTTCAACATGCAGCTTCGACCTAATCCGGCAGGGAGGGCAGCTGCTGGGCTTGAGGGAGGGGGGGGAGTGGGCTTGGTAGCCAGTGCTGAAATGAGGGAGCTGATAGAGGGTGAGGCAGCAGGAGGAGGAGGACTGGAGATCTGTTGCTCTGAGGGTTTCTGAGTAATCGTTCCCCCTGCTGCAGAGTCAGAACTGGGTGTGACAGGTGCGGTAACCGGGGTAACCGGGGTGACGGGGGGGTCGCAGGCTGGGGGGATGCAGTAGTGGCTGTCTGACAGGAGGGGGCAGCAGAGGCTCCAGTTTTTGTAGATGGCTCTCCCTGGAGTAGAGGGACTAGAAGCACTTTTGAGGGAGCTGGGAGTCTCCTTGCGGGGCCCATGGTGGGGGCTGGGGTCTTCAGGACCAGGAGGGGGGCTAGGAGGGGGGGGGGGGGGGCAGGGGGACACACACCTGGGGGGGATATTACACTGTTATGACTTTATCATAGAGCAGATGAAATCGAAAAACAACGAGACATAAAAATGTTTAAACATCCACAAAGAAGAGACAAAAATGTAGACAACGAGAAAACGTAAATATTAAACTTGTTTAAACCAGTCAAGATGTTTTGCATGATTTGCAGCTCAATAATTAACATCAGGTCTGATTGGCTGCCCTGTCAGTGTGGACCAGGCGTCTCCTAACATGAACTCTTCACACCTCGATGGATGGCGAGCTCCGTACCTGCTAAAGGTGTTGGTCTGAAGATGAGTCTGGGGGGAACGGTGCGTCCCACGGGTCTGCTCTGATTGGAGGTCTGTCTCTGTATGTTAGGGGGGTCACAGTTCCTTAGAGTCAGCGGCTCAGTGGACGAGACGACCAACATCTGACAAACAGAGAGAGAGAGGGTCACACACCTGATACCTCTTCTCAGATACACCTGGAGTAAGGATGTCAAACCACATCAAAACCGGCATCAACAACATTTTAGTACTTCACCAAATCGATGACGTCGATGTAAGATGAAACAGGAAACAGGAAACGTTAATGAATTAAAACAGACATGTAAATGATGTGTGTGCTAAAGACTGGAAGGGAAGAATCATAAAGCACACACAGGTTTACTATTGACAGTTATTGTCAGAAAATTTAAGACTGTCAAACAAATATAATCGTGAAATTTCAATAATTTATCGTGATTAATCACCAATGCCTCTGTGCCTCCCTCACAAAGATCTTAATATCTAATGATATAACACATCAGAAGTTTTGTTTTTTCATCATCAACACCTGTTGTAATGTACAGCATTCAGCTGAAAGTCACCAGATAACATCCGGTGTCGATAGTTTCATTTTTACCGATATTGAAGTTTAAATTCCGCTTTAGTAAAACATGAGCTCATTAAGTGACTGTTTCTTGAGTTAAATACATTAAACAGGACAACAAACGTACCTCCTGTCCAGGTCTCCGGCCCCCATGATGGTTCTGGACTGCCTCTTCAGCCCGCTCAGGAGCTTCATGTGCTCCGGTCTCTGCCACTTCACGGGCACAGGGGGGGTGCTCAGCTCCGGTTTGGAGCATTTCCGAGGAGGGGGCTTCATTCTGGGACCAAACGGACGAAACCAACCCGGAAGAACCGGACTAAGAGATTAATGTCACGCGCTCTTTCGGTAACGTTAGTCGGTAACTCTCTCCGTTTTAAATATTTTTAATTTAACGTTTTACTTGGTTTAAAACCTGAGATTTCACAGCAGAGACAAAACTGCCAAAACACAACCCACCGCTGGATCAACAACTATACTACTTCTGGGGCAATGCCTTCACAATAAAAGCTACTTCGTTTTGAAAACATCATCATCCTCTGCACCTGAACACATCATCATACTCTGCACCTGAACACATCATCATCCTCTGCACCTGAACACATCATCATACTCTGCACCTGAACACATCATCATCCTCTGCACCTGAACACAAAAAGATAAATAAAACTAATCAAACCAGAGATCAGGGAGTGCAGAAGCTCCCATGTTCTGTTAAGTTATGAACTGGTTTACTGGTTTGAGGCCGGTGGCTTTAAAAGAGGCGACGTAACGTTTGTTTCTGGTTAAATAAAGAGATCTTACTCTGGTTTTTATGACTGCAGAATCAATCTTTGGTCTCTATTTAACAAGCTTTTGTGTAACTCTGTTGGACTCAAGCAGGCTTTTCTCTGATCCTCTTTCACCTTCCAGGAAGTCTTCTCTGGAGATGAGGCTCTCGTTGTCCTTGCTGAAGCCTGGCGCTCCATACAACAGGAAGTAGGATCCCTCATCCTGGTTGACCCCAAGCAGCACCTGAGTGTCTTTAAAGTTTCCTGAGCTCAGCATGGCCTCTGGCGTGTCGGGGAGAACCTCGCCATCGACCATAGGGACGAATGAGAACCTGAAGAGGGCTGACCACGGCAGGAATTGATCAGAGAAGGAGGACAGGGAATCAATGAGATTAAAAACCAGAATGACCTTTTCATGTGAGTCGAGTGGATCCTCAGCGTACTGTGCAATCGGGTCTTTACTCTGCGTTACCTGCCACTCCTGGTCGATGAGCTCCTGGGGGGTTTTTCACCTCAGACAGTCCACCAGCTCTGTGTCGTTGCCGCCGTTACAGCCGACCAGTTTGCCCAGCAGCGTGGCTCGTCTGCGGGCCTCTGCGGGGCTGACCGAGGCCCAGGGGCGGTTGGGGACCCCGCTCTGAAGGATGGCCCGGGTGAAGGTGGGCCGGCTGTCTGGAGACAGGAGTCGGTACCCGACTGAAGCTCCACCCGCGCTCTCTCCATAGATGGTCACCTGATAAAGATCACACACAGAGGTTTAAAATGATCTGAGAAATAAAAGAAGGACTAGATCAGTCACAAACGGACCTGTTTGGGGTTTCCTCCAAAGGAAACCAAAAGTGGATGTTGTCTTGGACCCACTGCAGCGCCATCCTCTGGTCAAGCAGACCTACGTTTCCAGTAGCCTCTGAGGAGCCGTGCAGGGCGAGGAAGCCGAACGCACCGATCCGATAGTTCATGGAGACCACGATGACCGTCTCACTGTGAGCCAGGTAGCGACTGTCATACACGTCCAGAGAAGAAGAGCCGCTGTAGAATCCTGTCAGATAGATCAGAAATGTTATTTTTTATCTCACACAAAAAAAATCAGGCAGGTGATTCAAACTCAGAGAGATTTTTTAGAGAGATTTTCAGACTGTGGAGCAGGTGTGCTGCTGAACATCCTGTGTGTGTGGAACAAAAAGCTCAGTGTGTTGACCTCGCTGATGTCTGACCATCTTTCTAAGACTTTTTCTAAATATCAGGAACATACTGCCCCACTGACTTTAGACCAGGCGCCCTCAAGATAGGACCTGTCTCACTGAACACACCTCAGTCTAAGACATACCCCCCTGCTGGGCGCTAACGGGGGTGCAAGTTAAAAGACCGTGTCAGGAGGGAAATACACCTCGGCTGAGACGCTTCGTGCCATGTATACGTTAGGGTACAAACAGGAAGTCATTTTCAAACACGATTAATGCTGCCACCCAAAACAAATGTTGAACCCGGCTTTAAAACGACTACAATGTTCCTTGAATGCATCTTGTTAGTTGTTGTTTGTTTGTTTGTTGTTGTGTGTTTGTTTGTTGTTGTTGTGTTTGTTGTTGTTTGCTGTTGTTTGCTGTTGTTTGCTGTTGTTTGTTGTTCGTGAGCTTGTTGTTTGTTTGTTTGTTGTTTGTTTGTTGTTGTTCGTGAGCTTGTTGTGTGTTTGTTTGTTTTGTGTTTGTGTGTTGTTCATTGTTGTTTGTGTGTTGTTGTGTGTTGATTGTTTTTGTGTGTTTGTTGTTGTTTGTGTGTTTGTTGTGTGTTTGTTGTTGTGTTTTTGTTCGTGAGCTTGTTGTGTGTTTGTTTTGTGTTTGTTTGTGTGTTGTTCATTGTTGTTTGTGTGTTTTTTGTTGTTGTGTGTTATAGTGTGTTTGTTGTTGTTTGAGTGTTTGTTGTTTGTTTGTTGTTGTGTGTTTGTTGTTTGTCTGTTAAAGCGAGGACATTAAAGCGAGGACGTTACAGCGAGGACGTTAAAGCGAGGACATTACAGCAAGGACGTTAAAACGAGGACGTTACAGCGAGGACGTTAAAGCGAGGACGTTAAAGCGAGGACGTTAAAGCAAGGATGTTAAAGAGAGCACGTTAAAATGAGGACGTTACAGCGAGGACGTTACAGCGAGGACGTTAAAGCGAGGACGTTACAGCGAGGACGTTACAGCGAGGACGTTAAAGCGAGGACGTTACAGCGAGGACGTTAAAGCGAGGACGTATTTGTTTTGTGTTTGTTTGTGTGTTGTTCATTGTTGTCTGTGTGTTTTTTTGTTGTGTGTTATAGTGTGTTTGTTGTTGTTTGTGTGTTTGTTGTTTGTTTGTTGTTGTGTGTTTGTTGTTTGTCTGTTAAAGCGAGGACATTAAAGCGAGGACGTTACAGCGAGGACGTTAAAGCGAGGACATTACAGCGAGGACGTTAAAGCGAGGACGTTAAAGCGAGGACGTTACAGCGAGGACGTTAAAGCGAGGACGTTACAGCTAGGACGTTACTGCGAGGACGTTATAACGAGGCCGTTAAAGCGAGGACGTTACAGCGAGGACGTTACAGCGAGGACGTTAAAGCGAGGACGTTACAGCGAGGACTTTACAGCGAGGACGTTACAGCGAGGACGTTACAGCGAGGACGTTACAGCGAGGACGTTAAAGCGAGGACGTTACAGCGAGGACGTTAAAACGAGGACGTTACAGCGAGGACGTTAAAGCGAGGACGTTAAAGCGAAGAAATGTGTTTTGTTCCAGGCTGTAAACATGTTTATTTAAAAAGGGACACTGTAATATGGAACCTAATGAGGATTGACTCACTTTCGGAGCCAGCTTCAAGTGGGCACTCTGTTTTCTGTTAGTAAACTATTTTGTGCATGAACAAAACCGAACTACAACAGTTTCAGGTCTCTCACATTTTGAATGTTTTGATGATTTTTTGAGGCCCGTCGTGATCAAGGAAGTGAAAGTCAAACACAGCTTCATATGAAACCTTCTCAGCGAGCATGGAATCATCTGGTGTTTCTCCTGTTGTCCTCGGCTAACAAGGTTTGTGTTCTGCAGCGTTCTCTGAAAACAAGAGGAGAGGAGAGAAAGGGGAAGGATGGAGGAGACAGAGAGAGGAGAAGGAGGGAGAAGAAGAAGGAGGGAGGAGACGGAGGGAGGAGACGGAGGGAGGAGAAGGAAAAGGAGAAGGAGGGAGGAGGAGAAGGAGGGAGGAGACGGAGGGAGGGTGGGGGAGAGGGAGGCAGTAAAGGGTAGATGGGGAGAGGAGGGGAGGAGGAGGTACTGCAGCAGAGACATTTTAATCAACTTAAGTGCCTCGAATCTGACCTGTCTCACCTCTCTTTACTCTTTCCTCAGTTTGTATTAAACACACACACACACACACACACACACAGCTGTAGAGATCTGTTACAGGAGCAGCAGAGGACAAATATTTAGTCTTCATGAGGCTGCAGCTGTCCTGTCCATCAGTGTCGATAAAGTTTAAGTGAAAAACATCCTCCTCGCTCCGTGTTTAATTGGTGTCATAATTTCAGTTATTCGCCTGATAAATAATCGTGTCTTTAAGCTCCGCCCCTCACTGTCACACACTGAGTCTAATGTGAAGACACTCCTTCGTCGTCGTCGTCTTCCTCAGTGACAGACAGAAATATCACCACAAGGGGGCCGATCACTTGAAACCAAGGGGCAACCTCCGGTCTCGAAAAATGAAGCCTATGCGGAAGTACAAAAAACTGCAGTTCCTCAAGGTTCCGCTTGAGGCTGGCTGCAGAAGCGCCGGAAGTGCCATAAGCCCACAGCCAAAAAAGCCCGTTTTTACCACAGGAATCAACATGTTTACAGCCTGGTTCGAAAAACGAGATATATCTGAGAAGTTGACGGCCCCTTCTCCTCACACTGTGGGGGGGTGAATTTTTTTATAACTCATCGGATTTTATTCTATTAAGGAAAACGACTATGCCCATATTTGGTTGTGTCAGATTTGATTGACAGCTCTGCGCGCTGCATCTGTCTGTCAGGCTAACAGCTTGATCCGTCTGATTTCTCCTCTTTTTTACATCGTTTGGAGAGTTTGTTTAACACATCTGACAACATACATGGCTTGCTGTGCGGTTAACAGACCATCCAAGAAGTTGATGCTTCAGTTTTTTTCGGTAAGTGATATAGTAGTGTTATATTTACTGCTTACTCATGTGTTTATATTTACGGACCTAGCTTGTTTAGCGTTAGCTTGTAAACCAGTCGGCTAACTGTGTAGCTCATTATTTACATTATTTACGGTCAATGGTTTAGAAATGTTTGTTGTTAAGATGTTGTTGTTGAAAATAGTGAGTTTGTGTGATGTTAGAAGCTAAAGGTTCACCTCGGTGGTTATCTGACGTTATGATGAATGTTATACTCCACGTAAATGTGGACATTAAAAAACAAACTTTGTGTAGTAATTATCCGTCAGTAACATAAACTGAACTGAACCTAATCTGCTGTGTAGGTTATAGAGGATGACAT